TTATACCAAGCTCTATATCATGTATGAATAAATTAAAAAGAATTGGTCCCAGGACATAGCCCTGAGGTACCCCACTCACCACTCCAGACCAGCCTGAGTACACGCTATTAATCAACACCCTCTGGACACACCCCTGTAACCATTTTTCTATCCATGTATAAACCCACTGGTCCATGCCTACAGATCTCAGTTTGTAAATTAGGCACTTATGGGGATCTGTATCGAATGCTTTTGCTAAATCCAGGTACACCACGTCCACAGGACTTTCTTTATCTAGATGGAGGCTCATTTCCTCATAGAATGTTAACAGATTGGTTTGAAAAGAACGATCTTTCCTAAAGCCATGCTGATTAGTACTAATGATACTATTTTCATCAGCAAAATCTTGGAAATAGTCCCTTATCACTCCCTCCAATAATTTACACACTATTGATGTTAGACTGACTAATGTGTAATTTCCATGAATATATCTCTGCCTTTTTTAAATATTGGTACCATATTGGAATTTCACCAATCAGTTGATACCATTCCTGGTTAGTATGCTGTCCATAAAAACAGAAATAATGGTCTGGCTATAACCTGACTGAGTTCTTTGAGGACTCTTGGGTGTAAGCCATCTGGTCCTGGTGATTTATTTGCATTAAGCATTTCAAGTCTTTTTCAGACACTGGTTTCTGTAAGCCATAAGGGTACACTTTGTGATGAGTTACTAATGATACAGTCTTGATTGCTATACCACTCCTATTTCCTAAGTAAAAACCAAGGAGAAGAATGCTTTTAGTACAGTTCCCTTCCATTGTCATTTGTAACAAACTTCTCATCATCCTTTATGGGGCCAGTATGTTCTGACCTTGCTTTTTTACTATTAATATATTTAAAGACTTTTAGGGTATTTTTTTTTTACTCTCTTTCGTCATGGTCTATCTTAGCCATCCTGATTGCATTCTTATGTTTCTTATTGCATTCCTTATAGTGATGTAAGGCTGACAATGACCCCTCTGTCTTATATTTTTTTGAAAGTCCGTTTGTTTCTCTTTATTATGTCTTTTTACATTACAGTTTAGGCACTCAGGTTTACTCTTAGCTATTTTATTTTTGCTGCCTATTGGAATACACTGGCTAATACCTCTATTTAATATATTCCTAAAGTACTCCCATTTTTCCTCAGTGTTCAGTGTTTCTAGGATTGGTCCCATTTAATATCTTGGATTATTGTGCGCAGTTTAGAAAAGTTGGCTCTTTTGAAATTAAGTGTTCTTGTACTATCCATGTGCCTCCTCTTCCTATGAAGGATGTTGATTGTAATTGTCTTGTGATCGTTGGTTCCCAAGTTGTTCCTCATTTCCACATCTATGACCAGATCTGTTCTATTTGTAATTAATAGATCTAGCCCCACATTTTTTCTAGTCGAGGCATCCACCAATTGGCACATGAAGTTGGCCTGTTAGACATTTAAGAAATGATGAGCCTTATATGAATTAGCTGTACCCTCTGGCCAGTCAGTATTTGGATAGTTGAAGTCCCCATAATGATGACATTGCCCTACCTTGCTGCCACTTCTAACTGTGATAGGAGATCCAACTCCTCCTCATCCTTCAAGTTAGGGGGCCTGTAGCAAACCCCCACTATGAATTTCCCACATACAGCTTCACTTTGAGGCTTCACTCACAGGGATTCCACCTTCCCATTGCCCCATTGTAATGTAGTTCCTCGTGTCCACAAGCAGACCATTCTTGATATACAGGCATACCCTTCCTTCTTATCTACCCTCCCTATTCCTCCAATACAAGGAACAACACTGGATAGTTGCCTGGAATGAAAAATGAATCATCTATGGCTTGCATACCCTTGTAACCGGATAAAACCGCATGTTACATCATAAGCATAGGGATAACACAGATCCAGCTCTAGGTTCTCTCACCGCCACTTTCTCCTGTATTACCCACTTCTGGTATCACTATGTGGGATGACGTCCCTTCTTGATGCAGCATTTCATCTTCCTGACATTCTCAAGAGGCATCACAGCAAAACCGGAACTGGTTAATACAGGATAAGGTGGTGATGAGAGAGCCTAGAGCCAGATCCATGTTATCCCTCTGCACATGATGTAACATGTAAATTTATCCTGGTACAAGGGTATGAACCTAACAATGTGAGTGAGCATTGTGCAAGTGTTTTTTAATAAAAAAAAAAGGTTTTAAAGATGTTACACTATGGTAGTCTCCCTCTATCTCTCCCTACATGTTGTGTGAGACATATAAAAGGAAGGAGTACAGCAGTCCCAAAAAAGAGAAGGCTGATGGTGGTTATCCATGATACTAAGCATTGTATGACTCACTTGTGATAGGTAGTCATATAAATCTGGTGAGTGTTCTGTGTTTATAGTGGAGGATTTCGGGAACACTATGGCACTGATTGTTGGAAATGGGGCACTTTTTTGAGCATGGACACTTTAATAACTTTAAAGGAATTATGCATCATACTGTGAATTGGAAGCAAATGTACACTTTATATGCAAAGAGAAACTTTATTGAAGCACAAAGGACACTTTATTGAATAATGTTTAATTCTTATTTGAGTATATGAGCATTGCACAGAATATGTTTGTCTATTTCACATGTTTAAACAAAAACCAATACCACTGTGTCATAGATGATCAAACTGCTCTCAAGGGGTTAAGATTTCTTTCACACCATATGGTTTCTTCTGCCAGGGCATACATAAGATATAACGGCTTGGTTACTTAAAAAAAGAATGACAAAAATACTCCCCCAGTGCAAAACTGTATGTACCAAACGTTTAATAAAAACTTCTTTAATGCATACACATGAAAACTGTAACCACAACCACAAAAGTTTCATGGGCACATCAGTATTTCTATGGTGTTCCTACTGGCTTCTCTGATTGGACCCATCCGTCATTCAATGGTGTTGTGTGGGATGATGTCACTGTTGTAGGCCCCTCCCTACGCATTTCATCAGCAATAATATCTTCTGAGGGACGAGCTGAATGTTTTTTTTGTTTGATAGTATTACTGCAGTTTTTTAAAAACTAAAATTGCACCAGAGGGTGATTGTTCTGTGAATGAAGGTACACAGAATTATTTTTGAGATTTAATTATCTTCTTTTGCTTATCTATAGACATTTGGAACTAAATGCATCAAGAAAACTGTAAAGGGAAAGGGGTGCAGGGGATGACAAGGGGAGTCACGGGGCTCTTAACCACTTGCCTATCAGGCACTTATACCCCCTTATTTACCAGGCCAATTTTCAGCTTTCAGCGCTGCCGCACTTTGATTGACAATTGCGCGGTCATTCAACATTGTACCCATATGAAATTTTGATCATTTTTTTCTCACAAATAGAGATTTCTTTTGGTGGTATTTAATCGCCACTGGGACTTTATTTTTGCGCTATAAATAATAAAAAAAGTGCAAAAAATTTGAAAAAAAAAAAAGTTTCTTTGTTTCTATCATAAAATTTTTCAAACAGGTAATTTTTCTCCTTAAATATGTAAAAAAAGACAAAACCTCAGCGCCCAGGACTCTCCTATTAGACACACAATTCCCCGTGAGATGCTGCTGTACACAGGTGCAAAAACCAAAAAAACTTATATCAATAAAAACCAGCGCAAACCCACATAATCAATTGCATTACTCAACTTATTAAACCAACTTAAAGACCGTGACAAAAAAACTTTTGTGCTAATAAGGATTAAATTATAATATATATATAAATAAATATAAAAAAATTATATAAAAAATTAAAATTCATAAGTCCAGTGACACAAAAATCCCAAAAAATTAATAAATTAATTGACAGTCCCGTGACAAAATAAATCAAATTATAAAAAAAATTTTTTTCATTGGATTCTTCCATGCCTTTGGTCCCTTCACCATCCACCAGTGCAAAAAACCAACATTAACCGCACTCACCAGATATTAGTGAGTCACACGCCTTTCAGGAATATTAAGGGCTCCTGGACCCCCTTTACTTTTTATGAGACCTCCAAATGCTGCTTCCTCTTATGTCTGGGTACCTCTTCTGCTTACTCCTCTCACCGAATCCCCCAAGGAAAATCAGGAAGAAGAAAAGACCATAGCATGATACCGTAGTGGTTTCTCCTCTAAATAATCTCTCCAGACCACTCACACTTTAGCGGGATGTAACCCGCATTTTATTTGAAACAACAATGATTTTCCTTCAAAATGATCCACTTTCCAAGTACAGCGACTTTGCATGAAGACCCCACAGCCTAGTATACAGCAGGATGGCAGACCTCAGATGCAAACTCATCCACTATGCTAAGATGGCCCCTTGGAACGCACCGCTCAGCGTGCGTTCCACTCACCGGAAATTACGTCAGACGCCGGAACAGGCAACCGGAAGTGAGTCAACGCGTTCCGGTGAGTGGAACGCACGCTGATGCGTTCCAAGGGGCCATCTTAGCATAGTGGATGAGTTTGCATCTGAGGTCTGCCATCCTGCTGTATACTAGGCTGTGGGGTCTTCATGCAAAGTCGCTGTACTTGGAAAGTGGATCATTTTGAAGGAAAATTGAGTAATGCAATTGATTATGTGGGTTTGCGCTGGTTTTTATTGATATAAATTTTTCTCCTTCACTGATGTGCGTTGATGAGGCAGCACTGATGGGCACTGATAGGCGGCACTGATGGGCACTGATAGGCAGAACTAAAGGGCACTGATAGGCAGTACTAATGAGGTGGCACAGATAGGCGGCACTGATAGACAGCACTAATGAGGTGTCACGGATAGGCGGCACTAATATGCAGCACTGATAGGCGGCACTGATAGGTGACACTGATGATGGGTACTGATATAGACAGCACTGACTGCATCACTGCTGGCACTGACTGGCGGCACTGACTGGCACAATCGACCGCTGGGCACTGACTGGTGGCACTGACTGGCAGCACTGCTGGGCTGCACTGGTGGGTGGCACTGGTGGGCAGCACTGGTGGGTGGGCACAGGTGGGTGGCACTGGTGGGCACAGGTGGGTGGGTACAGGTGGGTGGCACTGCTGGGCACAGGTAGGTGGCACTTCTGGGCACAGGTGTGTGACACTGCAGAGTGGCACAGGTGGGTGCACTGCTGGGCACAGGTGGGTGCACTGCTGGGAACACAGGTGGGCGATCTGCTGGGCACAGGTGGGCGGAGCTAGTGGGCACACTGCTGGGCACAGGTGGGCGGAACTTGCGGGTGGCACTGTTGGGCGCCGATCATCAGCACTGATCATCAGTGCCCTGATGATCGGTGCCGATCCTTGCTCTGACAACTGCCGGTTCTCGGCCGCAGTACTTTTCCTCACGATCTGACAGCGTGAGGAAAGTGCAGCCGAGAACCGGCACTTGCATTTCCCTGTGATCAGCGTGTCATTGGACACCGCTGATCACGTGGTAAAAGGCCGCTGTGATTGGCCTTTTACCACATCACGTGATCAGCTGTGTCCGTAGGACACAGCGATCACGGAGATCGCCGTGTGCAACGCCCCCCTGGGGCGCGCAGGAGAGCGCGTTTCTGGGAGGACGTCATATGACTTCCACCCAGAACTGGCCGGGCCGTTGCCGCAGTGCAGCCGTCATTCGGCTATCTGCGGTCGGCAACTAGTTAATAGGTCAGGAAGTATAAAACCATCTTTCATTCTCCTGTTTGTTGGCCTGTAAGGTAACAAGTACCAGCGGTGCTTTCCCAGCAAATCAGAGACTAAACCCTTGCAGCCAAGTCAAACACCTGGAACTAATTATACGGGGTGTATTAAGGACATTCAGACCTGCAGACTCGCCTTGGTGTTGTGTTTCTCCGGGGCCCGTACTTTCCCTGCTTCCTTTTCCCTGCTCGTCTGTTTCCTGCTGACCTGCTCTGATCCTGGCTTGTCTGACCATTCTCCTGCCCTGATCCCTGGTTTTGTCTGCCATTCTCCTCTCCTGCCCCTCTGTCCCACGCTGCCCCTACCTGCTAAACCGGGCCCTGTAAACCCCGACCATTCCCGCTTCCCCCCCTTTGACCACCCCCCCCAATTTATTGACCGGCCTGCCTGACGACGCTTGCATTTATTACTGTCATCTGGGGGGGGTTTGGGTTTTTGGTTTGTTTGCACTGTTTTGTTTTAGTTTGCACTGCGTTTATTTTGATGTTAGGTTAAAAAAATTACTTTGTTTAAAAAACATATCTGAA